AGAATCAAACAATATCATTTCTTGCACATTTGTACTTCATTGAAATGCCATGGAATACTGATAAAAAAAACCAGCGAATAAAGGATTGCAAAAGCATATGGGTTGTAGTTTCCAAAATAGAAAGGACAAAAGGCTGGTGCCGGGGACCACCAGTCTCAATGAGAATCAATGTCATCACTCTCAATACGGGCAACTAGTAAGGGCGAGACGGCGAAAGAAAAAAATAACTATCACAACGATTTTATTGGCGGTACTTTTGGTTACGTCATTTTCACAGTTGCGATTCACTAGAAAGATGATGAAAGCCCTGATGATGGATGGAGCAGTGCTTAAAGACATAGAAGATCATTCTTCTTATCCTCCTGTCCTTCAGAAATCATCTGAGATGGATTTCGACGAGAAGATTGTYAGCATTGACGATGAATACAATAAGGAGTACAGMAACGAAGAAGAGGAGGACTGGTTCGATTACAATCGTTGGTGGAAAGAGCTGCGGTTGTATGACGAAAAAAATGTCTTCAATACCCGTGATTTTGGGGTCGCTCCATATGAAGTTTGCCAATACGTTGAAGATGTCTGCCGAATCTCTGGGCAAAAGGGTTGGGTGTACAACCCTCACAACAGTCACATGTATCCCAAAAACCAACGGCCTGTTGTAGAATTCTACGGACATAGAGATGACCAGGACTACGAAAATTATGGAGGAGACGCTATGTTTTTCGAAGAGTTCGGTGAATGGAATGTTGGATATTTTGGTACTGGGGACAAAGAGGGCAAAAACGTATCTTCGCAACACCGATCCCCACCAAAGTGTTCCTATATGCCGGTAACCAATCATTTCGTATTAGTGGCRGATTATACCCACATGCTGGGGGAGTTCTACTCTAGAATATACAGTCCGTTAATCGAGCTCATTCACTTCCTCGTTACGGTTTCATCCTCCACACACACGTGGCCCCTGGTAGCTGTGCCCAAAAATTGGCATCATAAAAAGGGATGGTTATCTAAGTCTCAAAAGCGGCTGATTMAAGCAAATGAGACTTTCAAGGGCGCATCGACAACCACGACTGCAAATAATACCGCCGGATTGACACTGATGAAACGATTTCAAAAACAATCCAAATTTTATCTGTCCGGAGTCGACAACAAAAAGAAAAAAATGCTTGAAAGCCACCATGCCCTTCTCGGTTTGATCAGCGACCATCCTGCATCTATATCGGAAAAATTAAACAATCTCAAGTCGATGGCGGAGACATTGCGGGATCATCAACGCAATCGATCCCGCGTGAAGCACAAAGAGCAACACGAAGAGAGCCAGTGTGCGTGTGTGAAGAGGTTGTTCTTTTGTGGTTATGAACGGCAAACAGTTTCACCGAATGGAAAAGAAATACCGCCGCCATCACCACATGTTCCACCTCTCTGGAGGATTACAAAYACTGGACAGCTGGACGGCAAGTTCGATTCGGGACATATACAGCGGATCATCCGGGAGCAAGTGAGCAAGCACGACAGCATAAAGAATCTCACCCGAGAATATTTGCTGGAGAAAAAAACTCGTTTGATTGATGGGTGTAGCGACGATGATGATGAAGATGTAGATGACGAGGAGAACGAAAAAGACAGTGACGGAAAACAGGACAAAGACAACGACAAAAAGCAGAAAAAAAAGGCAGATATTGAAGGTCTAGAAAAATGGATAGAAGAATATAGGGARAAGAAAAGACTAATGGCTTTGGAAGGAAGAAAGACTACAGCGTCGGCATCCTCTATCAATTGGGGCAATAAGGCAAAAGCGAAGGCTGAACCACCGACAACGAACTCGGGCGCCGTAAATTGGGGCGACAAGGCAAAACCAAGGAACGAAGARACCAGTCGAAAGAGACTATTGCAGCTGCTTGGGGGAACAACGACTACGGCACGAAGAAGACTGACCTCGGTCGAAGAAGGAATCGAGGTTCCGTTGGTCACAGGAAGCGATGCCATCGCAACAAGCAACACCACTGCCAATGTGCTAAACGTTTCGTCGATAATGGAAAACGTCACGGACGACGAGTTTGTCAGCGACTGGAAGATTGTTGGTCTGACGCAACGGTCCGATCGGCGAACGTGGCTGAACCTCGGGGACGTGATGAATGCCTGCCGGGAACGATTCACGAATCCCTCCGACAAGATCGTGTGCRTCCAGATCGACGTCGGTTCCAGGGAGTTTTGGAACAAGCCMAATCTGCACATTGCCRCACACAGCGGCTTGTCCGCCCTGATGGGCGTCCATGGCGCCCAGCTGGCCGAGGCGGTCTTCATGCCGGCGGGGTCACTAGTGGTGGAGTTTCTTCCCTTTGTTCCCGGCGGAATGATCTTTGGCGAGTGGACGCGGTGGGCACACGACGCGACGCCGCTCGGGAAAATATTTTCCCACACGGAYCTGGACCACATCGGGCTGCCGCTGACCATTGCGTCCGCGATGCACCTCGAGTGCATTGCGAGCGAGAAGGCAAGCGAGCACTTCAGCACAAAAAGATTGTACGACTGTCTCGACTACGACAAMAATCCCTGGGACGACCGGCACTTTACGGTTCCGGTGGACTCGATCATGGACATAATCGATAAGTTTGTCGCAAACGGCACACCTTCAAAAGAGGAAGGAAGGCCGGCACCGTCGAAAGCGGCAGTGTCCGGCCCCGGGCAATCGCTGCCACTGCGGTATTGCGAGGASTTTCTAAACGCCGCTGGCGACGACTATGTCTTGTACAACGTGAATTGTGTACCGGCGTCCAAGTCAGCGACAGATAGCCGTTCCCCGCATCATTACTACCGGACAAGGGAATGGTTGGAAGAGAAGACTCATTCGTACATGAATTCTTCCTCCTTGTTATTTAACACGTAAATATTAGTCGCAAATACATCAAAGACACACTGAGGCAACAAGTCATCATGGGTATTAGGCATGTTCTTAGAATAGTGTATTGTATCGAAAGGACAAGTGCATGCAATCTAGTTTTCTAGACAAAAATGAATTGCCGGATAATGCCTTCTGTTGCTTGTATTGCGGTTCGGATTTCGTGGTGACTGGTTCTGGCGGTGGCAACAGCGAGAGCGACACAATAAAGAAGGGTGGCCATTCATTCCAAACCACACGACAGAGTGCACTCGCCCACCGCAACAGGAACCGTCCTCCTTGTTTTGTTTTGTTTTGTTTTGTTTTGTTGGCTTTTGGTTTTGTTCCTTTGCGTTTCATTTGATCAATCGTAGTATCCACCGGAAGGATTGTGGCACAGGTTGCGCCTGACCTTGGAGACCGTCCCCTCGTAGTCGTAGTAGATGAGTTTCTTGGGCCGGGCGGAGCAGTCTTCGTCGGCGCCGATTCCGTGGCGGTCGGTCATGGCCACGCCACGGTGCCTCCGGTGCGGTTTCGGAACGGCCACGCTTGCGTCTCTCCCCGCGGTGCCCACGGGTCCCGRATCGTGCTCGTACAGGCGCTCGTTTCGAAAGACGTCTTCCACCTCTTCCAGCCGACGGATCGATTCGTCGCTGCCCGCGTGGACTTCCAGAGGCGCAAACCCGCCGCTCCCGGCGTCGCTGKGGGTCTCTTCTTCGTCTCCCTTCAGGAACATGCTCATGTCGTTCTGCTTCGGCGAGGAAGGGCTTGGTTGGGCCTGGCTTGTTGGCTTTTTCTTGCGCGGATCTCTCTTGGTCGGAAAGGAAGACGAAAASGCCTTGAATCCGAACTCGTGGTTCTTGAGGAGAGAGGAGAGGGCGCCGTTGTTGTTGTTGTTTTTGTTGCGGCATCCAGTGCCAAAGCCGGGGCGAGGATCGGGAGCGAATGCTCCGGCCCTTTGTCCCGTGAGGGCCAAACAGCACGCTAGCAGCTTGGGAAACATCGTGGTCGGTGTGCCGTAGTAGTTTGTTTGTTTGCTCGCGAATCGTGGTGGCGACGACGGAAGGATGGAATAGCGTTTGCGCAGTGGGCCCAAGACAACGCTTTAAAATGCGATTGTAACGGTACRGTACRTAATGCGAATGAACGGATTCATTCAAAATCAAAATCATGATTTCAAACTAGAATCAATCCATCGCACAGCACCTGATCTGAACCGGCTCTCGGAATACCGATACGATTTCACCYATCAACAATCTTTTCTTAAAAATCAAAACTGCCACCAAAATAGAGAAAAAACTTGAATGCGACACGGTTCGCTCGTATCTTCCGTACGATACAGTATCGCGCCTTGCACGTGCAGGAAGTTTCTTTCCGAAATCGAAGCCATCTGCTTGCATGCTCTGCTCTTGCGAAATACAAGTACTTGTAAAAGGCACCGTACCGCACCGTACGTACCCTACCGTAGGTACGATACGAGGTACGCGATCTTGAATGATACTAGAATCGTATCGTATTCGAATTCAGAACGCGGGTTCCAGTGAAAAAATGCAACGAGCAGGAGTCGTGGCTTGGAACGTTGGCACAACAGCAATGTTGCAAGTTTTGTCATTATTGTYATTATTGCTATCATACCAAAACCTACGATAGGCATCACCATGTCGACACCGAAGACGGTCGTCTCATCGCCATCGAGGCGAGTGATCCGATTTTTCGATCCCCATTTTCATTGGTGGGACACGACGAGAACAGTTGCCGCGAGCGATACAGCTCACACACGTGCGGATGCACCGGAGAAGAAGAACGACGACGGGACCACGGTGAGCGGGCACGACGGGGGGCAGATTTTCGTTCCGGGGGATTCCGATCGGTACGGGAGGAGCGAGTACGAGCGGGAAGTCGCGTCCGAACCTGCCGATGCGGAGGAGGGGRCCCAATCCGGGTGCGGAGGCAGCAGCAGTCCCTTCGTGGTGGTCCACGAGGGCGGGATCTGCATCGAGGCCAACAGCGTTTGCTTCGTGGATCGACCGGGGAGCGAGCTGACCCATATGTACCGAAAAGAGCTGGAATGGACGCTGGACCAGATGCCACCAGATCCCCACGGCGACGGCAACGACGGCAACCACCAGGACGATGCGCACCGCGGCGAGCGGGACGGAACAGAGGCCCTCCCCGAGACACCCCCGCCAAAAACCTACGCATTCGTRGCGTGCGCCTCGCTGGAATCCCCGGACGCGGAGTCCTGGCTCGCCGAGCTGTCGCGGAAAAGRCCGCTGGTCTGCGGGGTCCGGCAGATCCTCAACCACGAACCGAGCTGGCCCCGGAACGCCTCCCTCGGYGAGCTCCTCACGAACGAGGAGTGGAAGAGGGGCTTTGCCTTTCTGGTCCACCGCACCGGCCTGGTCTTCGACGCGCAGCTGAACCCCTCCCAGTTCGGCCCGCTCCTTTCGGTCCTGGAGGAGACCGAGCGGGCTTTTGCTGCGGGCCCCGAAACCGCGGTTCGCAAGAGGGCCGCGGTGGTGATCGACCACGCGGGGACGCCCACCCGGTCGGATCTCGCGGACCCGGCCCGCAGCGCCGCYTACTGGGACGGCCTGGAGGCCCTCGCCGGGTGCGGCCTCGTGGCCGGGATCAAGCTCTCCATGCTCTCCTACACGGCACCGGGCCCGCAAGGAAGCCCCTCGGGCTGGGACCGCGACCCGGTGGTGGAGGGAGCCGTCCACCGCATCGTCCGCATCTTTGGGGCCAGGAGGGTCGCCCTCGCCTCGAACGCCCCCGTCGACGGCGGGATTTCGGGGTGGCCGGTCCCAGCCGTCCTGTCGGGCTTTGGGCGCGTCCTCGGAGACCGGTACACGGAGGAGGAACGGTCGTGGCTCTTTGGGGGGGCGGCCAGGGAAATGTACGGGCTGTAGGCAGAGGTGGTGGTGCCAGCTGGCAGCTGGCAGCGGGGTGCCGTGTGCCGTGTGCCGGCGGTGTGGCACGGTGCTGCTGCTGCTGCTAGCAGCTGCTAGTAGCTGTCGTAGTAGTAGAAGTAGTAATAGCAGTACTAGTCGCGGCTCGTCGATCAGCATGGTGACGATAGAGACACCACCAAAGACAACAACGTCGTTAACAAGAAGAACCAATTGCAATGCTYGGATTTTTGTTGTTGCATGCTGCAGTGGACTCCCATGCAACAGTATCTTATCTCGTTATTCTTGTCAGTGGCTGTCAGCATGGTGACCATGCTCCACCTTGGTACCGTACTACCAACAACGATTATTGCTTTGGGACTGTACCATCACCTAATGTATTATAAGACTACAAGAGCATCGACAAGATTTACAGATTAGTATGAGCAAAAGACATCCGACCTTAGTAGTTGTATCTCATCACCTCATGGTTTCATGGTGTGGGACAAGAAGCAAGCCATTTTAATAGGTAGAAGTACAGTACTTCGTACGTACGGTACGGCTGCGGTGCGGTACGGTACGCATGATATGAATGAATTCGTTCAGGCCGAATGGATCCTCAGGAGTCGTTCCGGGATTGATACCATGATGACATCATGATGACTATGACCACAGCGGTACAGTATTGATTCATACCAGTACAACACATACCGGTAGGCATACAAGTTTACCGTACAATCCTGCSAGTCCGATATAATTATAATTATTCCACTAGGTAGCGGTACGAGAAAGGTGCGGTACCGTACGGTACCAAGTAGRATAGGTACAAATTATTTATTGTTTCGTCCCCCTGAAGGATTTTTTCAACACGAATGAGACATTAATTCGATGCAGTTCGTACCGTAAATGGTCAGAGCAGCAGCATAGCAACGTGCGTTAGAGAACGAGCCTCTCCCAAGACCAAGACCAAACCGAACCGAACCGAACCGAGCTAGAAGCAAAGCCGTGATATGATCCGCGGCGCAAACCCAATCGACGAAGACGATCACCGCGGTCGAGGCCGCCGCGTGGGACGGGGGCTGGAAGGCGACGAACCCGAGAACGACGACGACGACGACTACAACGACGATGCTGACGAGAACAATGATGATGATGATGATGATGATGATGATGATGATGATGATGAAGTGGACAAGGAGTATGATGACGACGAACCCGAGAACGACGACGACGATGACAACAACAACGGCGACGATGATGACGATGACGGGTATGACGACGACGACGACGACGACGAAACCGATCCGAACGACGATGTTGCCGCCCCCGCGAAGACCGGTGCCGCCAAGCCCGGCCGGCCCGTCAACGGCGGGTTTGTTCCGCCCAAGCCGTCGGAGCAAGAAGGGACCGCCGGCAAGGACGGCAGGAGCCCCCCCGTCCTCCCCGGCCAGACCCTGAAGGATTCCCACCTCTCGGCGGCCGCCGGAGCGGCCCGGCCGACGCCGACCGCGCCCCCGACCGCTTCCCCCCCCCAACCGGAAGC